GTGGAAATAAAGTCAACATACATCTTTGTACATATAGTTTTCAAAAACAATGGGCAAGAATTATTGTGTAAAATGCTACTTTTAAAGATAATTAATACTAATACATCTATAGATGCACAGGGTCTTGCTATGTTTGAGAGAACCCAAGCTTCAGTCCAATTTCATTCTTAAAGAGTATTGTCTTATGGCATTTAAGAACTGCTGGTCTGAGCAGTATTCATAGAGGAAAAAAGGCAAGGAGACAGATAAAGAACACAGAGGAATCTGAAACTAATTGAAAGAGAAGAATTGAGGATAATTTCAAGATTTTTTATTTGGGAAAGTATGATACCATTAGCCAATCTGGGGACTTTAAAAAATCTTGATGCCCTTGATACATTCCAGGTTCGTTAAATTGGAATCTCTGAGGGTGGGACCCAGGCATCAGTACTCTTTACAGTAGATCAGGTGATTCCAACACATCCATTACTGCCTTCATCAAAACAAAGAAGTCAGGTAGCACACTGAGACAGTGGAGGAAGGGGATGAGTATAATTCTAGTTCTTTCAAGTTCAGAGTTCCAACAAGGCATCCAAGAAGGAATTAAGGACTGGATCTCAGGAAGGATAGAGCTCAAGATTTTGGAAAGCCATTCATGCATTCAATAAACTTTCCTAAGACCTGTTAAGTGCCTGGATACCAAGCCCAACAAACAGGATTCTATTCCCTTGAGGGGCTTATATCTAGGAGGGGGGGAACATATTTCTTTTTTTTTGGCTTATAAACAAGAGAATTTTATTTCTCACAGTTCTAAAGGATGAGAAGTCCAAGATTAAGGCACTGACAAATTCAGTGTCTGGTGAGAGCCCACTGCCTGGTTCATAAATTGCCATCTCTTTGCTGTGTCCTCACATGTTGAAAGGAGCAGGGAGCTCTCTGGGGTCTCTTTTATTTTATTTATTTATTTATTTATTTATTTATTTATTTATTTATTTATTTATTTATTTATTTATTTAGGTTAGGCTCTTGTTAAATACCATTTTTTTAAAAAATTTTATTTCATTTAGTTTTTTATACAGCAGGTTCTTATTAGTTCTATCTATTTTATACATGTTAGTGTATACATGTTAATCCCAGTCTCCCAATTCATCCCATGGGGGGGAACATATTTCTAAACAAACAAGCAGTACAAAGTGTTGTGAGCTCTAAGACAGAAATGTGTATGTAGGACAGGAAAGGAGGACTCAGTTCTCTTGGGAGTGGTCAGAAAATGTTTCCTAGAGAAGGGACAAGGAGAAGGCACCCTGAGGGAAATGGAGAAAGAGGAAAAGAGAGACTACAGAACTCTGGGGAGGCTAACAGTTTTAGCAGGCAAGGAGGAAGATGGAGCCAGATGAAGATCATGAGAAGTAGCAGCCAGAGAAAGGAGTACTGTATAGGATAGGGAAGTGCCCTGAAAGGTGAGGGGGGAAAGAAGGATGGCTAATGGGATGGCATTACATAGCACAGAGAGGGCAAAGAGGATGAGGCTGAGAAATGGCTTGGAGTTGATGATCAAGTGGCTACGGAAATTAGTTTCCACAGTGGAACAGCTAGGGAAGAGAGAGTGGGAGATGTCTGGAACTGGACCCATTAGTAAAAGAGAAGGATAAAGAGAGGGCTAGAGAAAATACTGGGTTGCCCCAAAAGTTCATTCCATAACATCTTTTGGAAAAACCTGTACGAAAAAACTTTTCGGCTAACCCAATACTATGGGGAGGAATGGGGGAGAACATTTAAATATTAAAATAGAGAAAAGGTGCCTGTAGTGGGAAAAGTTTGGGACTCAGGGATAAGCTATTGTGTTGCATTCTCTTAGCTGGAGCTGAATGGCCTTGGGGCGGTCACTTCGCTTAGCTGGCTGTCCACTTTTTCATCTGTAAGATGATGCAGTAGACATGAGATTTATAAGCGTATGTCCAGATCTGACAATCTAAAAAGTTTAGTGGAAAGAACAGAATCAAATGAGAGGGTGAAAAAGACTCTTAACTGCATAAAGCCTGATGATGGGTCAACTTTGTTTCCAGATATGTGTGTTTGCCACATTCGGTCGCCTCATTCTCCACGTACCATCCCCTAGAACCCACTTTTTAAAAAGTAAAGGGTACCACCTACAATCTAGGCTCTACCCATGAGAGTACATAGGTTAAAGTCACAACTTCTGGAATCATATAGTCCTTCACTATGACTGCATGAAAAATGACTTACTTTGGTTTTTCTAATCTGTAAAACAGAGTAATAAGAGTACTGGTGTCAGAGTTATCATGGGATTAAATGAGAGAATGCATGTAATGTATTTACAGCACACCTAGCATATAGTTCTAGTAAAGAAAATATTAGCATTCTTGAAACAGGTACAGAAAGAACAGCAGGACCCTGTGCCAGCAAAGTCTATGTATATCTTCTTCAAGATAAGAATAGGGGTCATGATATACTTTGAACCACACAGATCTTTAAAAGAAAAATGAGGAGAAACATGCTCAATAAGCAGGTTCACCTAGTGGCAAAATACAGGCTCTAGAATCAGGCAGCCATGATTTAAACCTTAGTCAAGCTATTTATTAGCTATATATATATTTTTGTTTGTTTGTTTGTTTGTTTTTCGGTACGCGGGCCTCTCACTGTTGTGGCCTCTGCCGTTGCGGAGCACAGGCTCCAGACACGCAGGCTCAGCGGCCATGGTTCATGGGTGCAGCCGCTCTACGGCATGTGGGATTTTCCCGGACTGGGGAACGAACCCATATCCCCTGCATCGGCAGGCAGACTCTCAACCACTGCGCCACCAGGGAAGCCCTAGCTTTATATTCTTAAATCTCTGATTACATATTTGTAAAAATGAAGTGTATGCTACCTGTCTCCAGGCTTAGGAAGACTGCATTCAGATGGAGTTCCACTTCCAGGCACTTAAGTGTATTTAAAGTACTGTAAAGGTTATTTGCAGGAATTCCCTGGTGTTCCAATGGTTAGGACTTGGCACTTTCACTGCAGTGGCCCGGGTTCGATCCCTGGTTGGGGAACTAAGATCCCACGGGCCACGCAGCGTGGCCAAATAAATAAATAAAGGTTATTTTCTTTGCTTCTTCCTAGCATTATGACTTATGTGTAAATAAACGCTTAGTAAGTGTTTTTAGAATTGAAATTTTAGTGAGATTTTGCTCCTGGTATCCAGAAATTTTACCTTTGTTTCTTTCTGGGATTCTGCCTCTTCTCTGACCTTAACTTAGCTGTGAATTCTATCCTACTCTCAGACCATACTAACACGGACTGGGTTGATTTTCCCCCCTGGGGACTTGGCGTTTCATGGAGAAAGTGGAAGAACACAGAAAGAAGGCTGCAACCACCACAACACCCCTGTAGGCAAACGGGGAGAAAAGAGCTTCAGGTAGTACCCATCAACCTGCTTCTGTTTACCCCAACATAATGTCCTGAACACGCTCCCTGGTGCCATGTTCTCAGTGCCTCAATCCCATAGCACAAGGAAATAAAAAACAAGACTTCTCCCATAAGAAGTAGCAGAATTATGTTAAAAATATGTATGTTGATTCCTTCCCAGTTCTCGTTCCCTGATGGAAGGCGACTGACACGAACAGCAGCCTAAGCTGAAATTTTCTCTTTAAGCTTGTAGGGTTCAGAGAGTGGAATATTTTGTAGAGTCTATAATATGAAAGAGATTAGGTTGGTGATGTCACAAGAGGTTTTGAACAGTGTTGGCAGAAGTTGTAGCGATGACTAAGGTAGTTGATAAGTAGCACCACAAGTAGTTATTCACCCTGGATAAGCAGGTGGAGAATATTAGTTACAGGTAGGAGGCATTTACAACAAAAATGATTCATTCTAGATTTTAGAATCCCAGGTATTAGCTCACATGGGTCAAGAAAAATTAGAAATAACAGAATCAGAGCAAAAAAAAGTTAACCCCTTAGCGCACATTGGAATTGGTTTTGATTTCTATTTTTAAATATATGACTAAGGACATAAGCCAGACCGATCTCCCTTTGATCTCTTGTCACCATTTCCAGGGCCCAGGAAGGGCTTGTCGAACTGGGCCCCACTTGACCACAGGAAGCAAGATCTGGAGGCACAGGGAGCCCATCTTAGGCTAACTGCCATCACCTTGGAGACACACCACTCCCCAGCAGGCTCCGGCATCATCCTGGAAGATTGTTACCATCGCTAATCAGATGTTAATCGAATGCACCAGAAAAGGAAATAAATTCCGCTTCTGAAAGGGCAGCTGGAAAGAGGTTGAAATGCTCCAGCTCGGATTTACATTCCAAAGCAGTCCTAAGGCCAAACACTCCTTGCCGGAGCAGAAGGAAAGCCCCTCTCTTTTTCTCACCTTCTCTGGAAAATAGTTCTCCGGAGGAACCGAGAACTCGCTGGGCGGCGCCACGTGGTCCCTCAGGAAATTGGGGCGAGACAAAGGACGCCGGCTCCTGTGAGGCCTCTCGATTTAAGCCAGTCCCTCCTCCTGTCCATCACCTGCAGCCTTAAAGTGCCAGGGACACATCTTCCCTCCCGGATCTCTGGGGCGGGTAAATAAGTCGGGGTGGGGTAAATATTTCTAGTTAGGCGATTCACTCAGTGGTTAAACATTTATTTTGTGGGTGCCAACGCTGACCTAAGCGGGTTATGTGGTTAATGATCACAGTAACCGGAGACGTGTGTTAACTCCATATTTCCTTCTTTACAAAGGGGAGCAGGAAGCGCAGAAAAGAACAGCACCTCGCCCCGCGAGCGGCAGGATCCGTCCCCCGGTCACTCGTCCCCAGCGGCGTCCCCAGGGCCGCCCGGCCAACCCCGCGGCTCGTGGCAGGTGCGCGTGTGCCCGCCCCCTCCAGCGCTCCCGCCTCCGCCCCGCCAGGACCCAGCCCGGAGTCCGGCGCCTCGCAGCTGCCAGGGGAAGTGCGGTCCGGGGGGCGGAGCCAGGGCGGTGTGGGTGGAGTCGTGAGCCGCGGTGGCGGAGGCCCGGGACGGCTCCTTGCGCTGCCATGGCGTTCGGGAAGAGTCACCGGGACCCATACGCGACCTCCGTGGGCCAGCTCATAGGTAAAAGGGGGACCCCTCCGGCTTGGGGCCGGGACGCTACGCGTTGACTCTGTTCCCGGCCGCAGAAAATCGTGTGGGTCCGAGTTCGACGAACTCCTCCCCCCTCCCCCGCAACTTTCCCAGGCCCCGCGCTCCGCTGGTACTGAGCGGCACCTGTCCCCGCCGACCTCTCTCGAACCCCACTTCCTCACCTCCCGTCTTCCGGTGCTTTCCGGGGTGGGGGTGGGGTGGAAGCGGACAGGTGGACCGAGGGGATCCAGGTGTGGCGTGGCTGGGCCTCTAAGGGGGCGTGTCAACTTCTGGGTAAGGGGGAGCTCTTCAGAAAGTGAGTCCACCCGAGGGCCAAGTGTTGTCCTGCCCGTTTTGCAAAGAGAGAAAGGTTCCAGGAGGTTAAGTGCACTGACCTCGATGTGACAGGCAGGTCTCCAAACTAGTTCTGACTCCAGGCCCTTAAAACATGAGTTACTTTTTAGGGGTGAACAAAGAGAACGAACATGCCTAGCACTGGAGAGAAGGAAGGGGGAGCCAGGCGCGCTCTGGGTACACAAGAGGCCTCTCCAGGCCACTAGAGGCTACACAGGTGTCTGCCTGACTCCTTCCCTCTCCCGTGGCCGTGCTCTGATCCTTGTACGCGGAAGCCGGAGCCAGTGCCTGCACTGTTTAACAACACCGGCTCCCTTCTCCCTGGTCTCTGATACCTCCCTTGGGAACCGGGTGTGGCACCAGTGCATATAGATGCCAAGCAAAGCGTGATCACTTCGGGGAGCTTAGTGGGATGAGGAAATCATGAAAACCTGGTAGTTATAATAAGGAGGCTCAGATTTGAACAGTTTTGCCTGCAGCTCAGTTAACTGGTGTATGACAAGAACACATTACCCAGGGACTTCCCTGGTGGTCCAGTGGTTAAGACGTCACCCTTCCAATGCAGGGGGCGCTGGTTCTATCCCTGGTCGGGGAACTAAGACCCCACATGCTGCGCGGCCAAAAATAAATAAAGAATGAATAAATTAAAGAACAAAAACCAAAACACTACTCAACCTAAAGTTTAGTTCCCATACCTTTATAAGATGGTGAGTGTAAGTATCATTGAGGAGGAGATGCTTTCTAAACTGTTGCTGGCTGTATCTCTGTTGGGTATTAAAATGAACCCTGAACAGAAGTGGATTCAGGCTGCATCTTCATAGGCTGATTTATTCTTTAATGCTGTGAACATTTACTGACTGCCAGCTATATCCCTGGACCTGGACCAGGCAAAGGTAAGACGTGGTCTCAGCCATCACGGAACGCATAATCTTATAGGGAAGACGCACACAATTTCGTACTGACAATAGTGCAGTACCTTTGCAATAGAAGAGAAGTGTAAAACACCCAAAACTTATGAAAAGGGAGAACTTAACTCTGCCATGGCCTTTGAAGGGTGAATAGGAGTTTTCTAGGAAGATGGGAAGGTGGGAAGAAGGAGGACAGAATGGGGAGCAAGAAATCTGGCAGAAAGGACCTTGTAACTGAACACAAGATTGGTAAGCCTTGTCCATTTGAATGCCAAATTCAAATAGTGTTTCTCCTAGATGAGGAGCAGTCTAAGCTTTGGGGGTCCCCTAACCAAACCTTTATCCTCTTCATTATCCTTTTAATTTTTGCTCAATTCCCCTAGAACCTCATGTTTTCATGCTGAGGGATATTCTCCTTTTTTGTAGTAGAGATGTCAAGCTCATTCAGGTTGAGTGTTCTATTATCCTTCCCAGGTGACATTTTGTATTCTTAAGGAGGATGTCAGAAGAGGGAAAAGCTATCTGACTGTTTAGTGATGGGGTTACAGGTACAGGAGCCTTCAAGTCTGCCTGGTGCGGCTCTGGTTAGTACAGGTGCTAGGAAGTACATAGACAGTTTCAGTTGATCTGTCTTTTTCTCAACACCACCCCCCAAAGGAGAATAAGTGACTTTTAAAAAGCAAACAAAAACTGGCATCAAACATCAGACAACCTAGATCTGAATGCTAGTTCTACCATGTACTGACTGTGTAGCCTTGGGTAACTTCCTTAACCTCCTTGAACTTCTGTTTCATCACCTCAGAACAGTGGGTTAAATGAAATTGCATAAGATAAAATACTTAGTTTAGCACTGTGCACTTCATCTTGTAGGTGACTGTCCTCTGAAAGACAGGCAGGCAGATGGAGATTTAGCTGGGCTGTCCTGGCCCTGCAGCCTTTATTAATAGGTCACTCATTACTGTTGCAACAGAAACACCTGGGTTTTGACTGATTCTTGAATTACTGGGAATTGCTCAGGAAAAAAAATCTCTCTGCTCTTTGGTGATATAAACTTAATGGTACTTGCTAGTGAACTCCAGGCAGATTGTTTCAGGAGGACCAGACATGTTTTATTCTGTTGTAGCTCAGATTCAACACAACAGCTTTTTCTTTGCAGAAAAGGCTACATTTGCTGGAGTTCAGACTGAAGATTGGGGCCAGTTCATGCACATCTGTTACATAATTAACACTGCCCACGATGGGTGAGTTCAGTGTGTGGTTCATGTATATGCCTCTCATAAGAAGTGTCAGAACACATTTTCTCTTGCAAACTGATTTTCTTGTTGAAATAGTGTTTCCATCACCCTTTAAGCACCCACTGCCTTTTGAAGACATGTCAGGTTGAAATATTAGGACAGCTGCTTGTTTCAGCACGTGGAATATCTGAGAATCCATTATAATTTTTCTCCTCTTTGCCTTTTCCTTAATAGTTTCAAATTTTGTCTCGGTGAAGCTCAAATTCCTTGTTCTTTAAGGAGAGAGGGAGATATTGTTTCCTTTGTTAGGAATTCTTCTTGTTCTGATTGGCAATATTTTATGTTACTGTAACTGAAAAATATTATCAAGAAGCTAGTGGACTCCTGGTGGTGACCTGTCTCTGGGCAATTGTCATTATCAACCAGGAAATAATCTAGCAGTTGGTTTCCTCTGCCTGTCACAAGACAATTCTTTTTTTCTTCTGAATGCCAACTCACCCATGTTTATGCTGAGCTCTTAAACAATGTGGTATCTTTTGTTACACTTCTTAAACTTTAGAGAATTGAAGTTTAAAAAATAAAATCATTAAGAAGGCCAACTATTTTGTGATTTAGTCTGAACTACAAGTTGTTATAAGGGATACAATTCTCTTGATTTTCCTGTGCATTTAAACTAATAATGAACAGCAAAGGAGACTTAGTTTTTGTTGATGAAGAAAACATTACATTTAATTATTGACTATCTCAATGGAAAGTGCTTATGGTTAGTACTTTAAAATATTTATGGTGTTTTCCCTGTAATCTTGTTTACCATATTTGTTTCCTCTAAACCTTTTCTTCACTGATAATACTAATTTCTTCATTGATAATGCAAAAAGGGAAATGCAATGTAAAATTTTTTTCTTTTAAAACAGTGTCTTTATTCTTTTCAACTTTTCTAAGGGCTTCATCTTAGATTTTATATATGATTTTTTAGAAATATATATAATATTTTATAATAGTTACAATTCTAAGTATATGTAATATTATGTAATTATATTATCATATAATAGAAATTCTACCCATGCAAGCATAACAAACAAAATTGGAAGGTAATATGCAAAAAATATTTGTATCTTTTTTAAGTTTTGAGGTATAATTGGCATATAGTACTGTGTAAGTTTAAAGTGTACAGCATAATGACTTGAGTTACATATACTGCAAAACAGTTTCTACAACAAATTTCCTTAACATCCATCACCTCATACAGTTACAAAAAATGTTTTTTCCTTGTGATGAGAACTTTCAGGATCTACTCTCTTAACAGCTGTCAAGTATACCATACAGCAGTATTAACTATAGTCATCATGTTGTACGTTACATCCCCATTAATTATCTATAACTGACCATCTCAGAGTAAATTTGGACTGTCTACTTACACATAGTTCCTCCTTTTGTAACATAACATTGTAGCATATCAGAACCTGACCTGGTTAGTCCTAACTCCTCCTACATCCCATTGCCTATAGGATGCTTAAGAAATACTAATAAAAATAGGTAACATTTTTGGAAATTACATTTCCTGTAAACTGGTTCTGTGTGTTGATATGGGCTGTGGGTGTAAGTATATTTCACATGTAGTGCTTTCTAGGTAATGATCATCATCTGCATATTTCATTTGATTCTGACAAGGAGGTAGGTGGTATTGTCTGCCTAGATGTATGAGGAAACGGGTGTAAAAAAGTTAAGTCATCTGCCCAGCGCCACACAAAACCAATACCTTGGTTATCTCCTTAGCCGTTCCTCTTTCCACACTGCATGCTGCTTTTCAGAGACTACTTGCTTTCAGCAATGGCTACATTGATGATTTTACTGTGTCTATTGCCACAGGCCAAAAGATGCAGTAAAAGCTTTGAAGAAAAGGATTTCCAAAAACTACAATCATAAAGAAATACAACTTACCTTGTCGGTAAGTATTTACTTTAATGTTAAATTAAGACTAGGATTTTTCAAGCTATAGTCACGTTTCTAATTTTGGGTATAAAAGATATAAATATTCTGAGATAATTAATAGGTTAGCAAAAAGTTATTTACAGTATGAATTAAAACTATTCATTTATTGAGGATTGCAGAATCAAGGGAGTTTCGTTGTTTGTAATAGCATTTAATTCGGTGGAAAGTGAGTGTTCCTGGAAAAGCATATTTTCCTGGTTCGGAGATGGGAACTGGTAATGAAAAACCTGTAGGTACTGAGTTGCTCAAGAAGTTTGTGTATGTGTTACACTTGGGGAAAATTGAAGCTTGAGAAGTGCCTCCCCGTCATCTTTCTACCTCATTTGAACACCTCTGTGGAATTCTGAGATGCTGGAGGCTCTTTAGGGTTCAGCCAAGTTCTGCTGTTTGGTATAATTTGGAGAATGTTCTTTGTTGATTTAAACAATTCTCCTGTGCACCTTATCGCTTGATTTGGGTGTGGACATTTATTTGACATGTTCCCATTTTCCCCCAACCTTGGCCGTGTGACCTCTTCGGTTGCTTGGTGAGTTGCCCGTTTTACTTCAGTATGTTTTGCAAACCCTGCCTGCTGCCTGAGAGTGAGCTGTGTGGCTTTCTAGTTTCTTCTGTGTGCCTTTGCTGACCTCAGCCCAGCCCCAAGCCACATGTGGTTATGGCACTACTCTGCCAGCATCACACTGCTCTTAGGGGACTTGGACATGTTTATCTAGAGGGCTGTGGAACAGAGGTGAGCACAGCCCCCCTTTTCTAGCTTCAGGGGGAAAATAATTTATCACATCTTGCTTACTTGGAGAGTAACTGAATGAGAAAATGAATTGAAGTCTTAATGATACTATCACTGAAGAAACCCTTCAAGTTGGGGTCTGAATATAGTTTTAGAGGGATTTTCTTCTTTCATCTTTTTTGACCTCTCCCCTGTCCTTTACCATAGCAGCCCCCTCAGGGAGGTCACAGAATGCAGGCAACTGGAGAGAGAGGAGTAAGGCACTTCAGTAGAAATGTCAGAACAATGGGTTGGTGGTGGAAATAAACCTTTGCCTGGTACCTGGCTGATGCTCTCAACAACCCTTTGAAGAAGTATTATTGACTCCACTTCAGAAATGAAGAAACTGAGACTTAGTGAGGTTAAGGGAGTTTTTTTTTCCCCCCTCCAAGATTTAAGTAGCATAGGCAAGATTTCAATCCGGTTCTCAGATTCTAAATTCCATGTCCTTGCCCCATACCACCTTGCTTCTCAGAACAAATCAAGCCCCTTGAAAGAAAAGGCTGCTGTGTTTCACTTGTGTTTTCAACTCCTTTCTACATGGTAGAAGACCTAGTGCATCAGTGTACCAGGTGTTGAGTGGTTAAAATGATTGAGTGTCCTTCAGCCCCCATCCCACTCTCCTAGCATCCAGGAAGGACTCAAGGAATGTACTGTAGAATTGGGGTAGAAAGATACGTAGCTGTGCCCTAAAATGAAGTGGATCTAGGATATCTCAGGGCTGCTGAAGGTTAGGAGAATTGACTGAGTAACCTAAGGGCAGAAGATGAATTTATGCCACTTTTGAATTTCAGCATGTGGTATTTCACCTTCTCACAGTTGTTTATTCTATGTAATGCGTTTGTCTCTTTCTCTGTTGTAGCCAGCCTACGTGACATTTCCATGGTTGCTTCTTATCCTCAGCTCCATATCCTCCTCCATCACGGTTCCTTCCTTCTGGGGATGAACCAGGACTCTTCCCTGGGGAATCTGACTTATTCCAGAGTGTTGTCTCTTTCAGCCCTCCATCTCTGAGTTCCCACTCTTTCTGTCCTTCCAGTCATCTGATCTCTTAGGCCTTACTCCCAGCTAGCTGCCTGTTCCACCTCAGGTAACTGTACATCCTCCACCTCCTAATTTCCACACCAGTACGTGAGAATAAGTGAATGTAAAACCTGTACCAAAGTAAGGGTGAGAGTCACAGGTTGGGGGTCATTGTTAGGGGCAGAATTCATTAAGGTACCTACTTCTTGGATTTTCTTTGAATTGGTCTTTGACTCTTGCTAGCTTCATGCAGATTTCCCCAAGTTGTATAGTCAATGGCCCAGTCACCTCACCTCACACTACTCACTGCATTGTAGTGGTGTCTTTAAGGCTTCAGAACAGACTTTAATATTAACTTAAGCCAGACTTAATCATGAGAGAGATTAGTCACAGAAAGAATCATCCAGGGGCTTCCCTGGTGACGCAGTGGTTGAAAATCTGCCTGCTAATGCAGGGGACACGGGTTCGAGCCCCGGTCTGGGAGGATCCCACATGCTGCGGAGCAACTAGGCCCGTGAATATTTAGCATTCATTTTACTGTTAGGGAAAATGAGACTTGGAGGCAGAGTATCTTGCCTAAGACTGCATATCTGGTTACATGAAGTATTTTTTATAAATTCCCATTGAACTAGAGGCACTTTTCCTCTCAGCAGTTCATCAGATAAAAACTCATCATAATAGTATATCAAGCAAAAAGTCATTTGTTATTCAATTTTTCAGCTTGTCTTTTTCTAAACAACTTGCATTAAAATACAATAGATTCATCTTAATATGTTTTGGATTCTGATTTTACTTTCCTTTGCCTTAAAGGTTCTCCCTGTATATTTCACAAAGCTGCATGTGCTCAGCTTCTGTATTTTATGGTTGCATTTTTAGCCACGTTGCCCTTAAAACTGCAGCTTTCATACCTTCTTATTTTTGTATTGCCATTAAAGTGACACAAATACAGAGCATGGTGTAAAGTCAGTTTTCAGGGCTTCTTTTCTGCAAAGATGATTATACCTATCTTGGTCACATTATGGTTTTTGTGACTTCGGAGAAGGTGGTAGCATGGGAACTAGAGATGTAATTTTGTTTTTAGATCACTTTTAGAAATCCACTTTCTGCATGCAGTTCTTCAATACCAGCTCATTCTTAGCCTGACTTCTGCTTATGTTGCTTTATTGAAAATCTTTTTTTCAAGGTGACTGATGACCCCACTAATCAACAAACCTAGCTGAGTTTTTCAGTCCATATTCTTAACCATTTGACACTCCATCCTCCTAGAAACTCTGCCCTCTTTTGATTTTACCAACATTATGTTCTATTTATCTTATGCATCAGTTTCTGTTGATTGCCTTTCCTGAGCGTCCTTCTGGCCTCACAGGTAAACCCCTTTGTCCCTTCCTCTCTGCTCATCGATGAAGCCTTGATTACTCACTTTTGGCCTCACTCTCCCCTGAACTATAGCTGTGCATGTACAGCTCTCAGCAAAAAATCTCTACTTGAATGTCTCATTGTCCTTTTTGTCTTAGTCATCTTGAGCTGCTCTAACAAAATACCATAGATTAGGTGGCTTAAACAACAGACATCTATTTCTCACAGTCCTGGAGGCTGTGAAGTCCAAGATCAAGGTGCCGGCAGATCCAGTGTATGATGAGGGCCCACCCTCTGGCTTGTAGATGGCCATCTTCTTGCTGTATCCTCACATGGCCAAGAGAGAGATGATCTCTCTTATCCCTTTCTTATAAGAGCACTAATCTCATTCATGAGGACTCCACCCTCATGACCTAACTCCCTCCCAAAAGTCCCACCTCCAAATACCATCACATTAGGGATTAGGTTCAACATGGGAATTTAGGAGGGACACAAACATTCAGTCCACAGCACTTATAAACTCAAAATATGTAAATTTCAACCCATCATTTTGACCTTCAACTAGTCATAGTATCCCATCCACTTCCAGATTTCCATCAGTCTCATGCAGCGTAACAGTCACTTAACTTTCAGCCTTTCCTTTTCAACAAACCCCGGTTGCTGAAACTTCTTGCTTCATAATTCTCATGTCTTTCCCTTCCTTGTACCCACATCATCCTAGTTTAGGCCTTTCTGCATCAGGCTGTACTAGTAGGTAACTGCTGGATCTCTATCATTCCAGGGTCTTTGCCCTCCAATTCCCTTTGTAGGGTGCTGCTTGAAAACCTTGTCAGAGTACTTTGCATGCACTAACCTTTCTCTCAAGTTCAGGATAGAGGTGTGATGGTGACAAAACTAATAAGAACCCTTCAGTGGTTTCTTACTGCCTTCAAGATAATGTTCAAATTCTTTACATTGCCACACAAAATTTCTCTACAGTCTGGATGAAGCCCCTCCAGACTTAATCCACCCACCTCCCCAGTGTCCCCAGTTTGCTGATGTAAAGAAGCCTCTACAAACTGGAGTACTTATTTTCCTCCTCACAGCTCATATGCTTTGTCACCTCTACTTATATTTTTTAATACCATTTACCTGTCTAGACTATTGCTCTATACTCATTTGTACTTTTCTTGACCATTTTTCAAAGCCCAGCATAGAACCACCCTTTTCCAAAAGTCTTAAGACCACCTGGCCCTAAATTATCACATCTGCTATAAACGTCTGTAGCTGGGGTAACCATGTAATTTTTCATCTAGGCAAGGACATTTTTGAGAGTGAAAGGAGGTATCATCATGAATAAAACCAGGACAACAGGAGTTCACCAGGACTTTCCTGGCAAAACTAGGACAAATGTCACCTTGTACAGAGCCCACATGCTTCGTTTGCACCTCCCATTGGCCCTTGGCATTTACTACCTTGCATAGTTATTAGTTCTCTTATAATTGTGTCCTGGCTCCCCAACAGGACCATCCGCTAAGCAGTTACATTATGCCTTATATTTCCTCACATTCCCAGAACCTAACATTTTGCCATGTATTTTAGTAGATACTAAATTATGTTTATTAATTGGAATGCTGGTGGAAATCATTACTTAGCAATTTTTACCTTATATTTAGGAGGTGGTTTTGCAAAGAGATAAAACGTTTAATTTTTCTCTTTAGCTTATTGACGTGTGTATGCAGAACTGTGGTCCGAGTTTCCAGTCTCTGATTGTGAAGAAGGAATTCGTTAAAGATAGTCTAGTTAAGCTGCTGAGTCCCAGATACACCTTGCCAATAGACATTCAGAATAGAATTTTGAATTTCATTAAGGTAAGTCTATTATATATCTTATGGGATGGTGAATGTCTAAGATTAGAGATTTAATTACCTAACTCCCAATTGGTTCAGTGATCCTTTACAAGCCTGGGATTGAGCCCAAAAGAGTTTTTACTATTCGGTTTTCCATGTAATAATAATTTCTTGGCATTGGATAGTGGCCTTTTTCTGAAGAATTTGTAGTCTTTTCCATACGTGTTGCTCAGTTTCTATCTTATCTACGTCAGATAGGAGAGAGAGTGACGAGTACATTCATTTTGCAGGTGTGGAAACTATGTTCTGGGGTAGATAGCTCACTGCTTTCAGAGTTATTTGGCAAAAGAGCTACTGATGCTGTTTTAGAATCTGTTAATTCTAGATTTAGTATAGCAAAAAACAAACAACAGTATCTATTTCAGAGTTTCATTAAATTGTTGAGGCATGGCAGTTTGATGATTAAAAATATATTATTCTAATGGCCATCATCAAAAAATATACAAACAGGACTTCACTGGTGGAGCAGTGGTTGAGAGTCTGCCTGCCGATGCAGGGGACGCAGGTTCATGCCCTGGTCCGGGAAGATCCCACATGCCGCGGGGCAGCTGGGCCCGTGAGCCATGGCCGCTGAGCCTGCGTGTCCGGAGCCTGTGCTCTGCAACAGGAGAGGTCACAATAGTGAGAGGACCGCGTACCGCAAAAGAAAAAAATTGGAATTTCTATTAACAGCAAGCTCTCAAATCTTCAGTGGCAACGATGGCTTGGAACTTAGCTGTAGGCTCCCTTTTAGACATAGATCCCATAGTCCCTATAACACTCCTTGTCTATTGTCTGATACTAACTGTTTCACGCACTGTCTTCCTATAGCCCCTAGAGATTTTTTAATTTGCAGCCCTTGATCTAGAAGAAAGTAGGCGATTATCCCGCTTTTTTGCATCAAAAATATTTATTTTTTTAAATTTATTTTATTGAAGTATATTTGATTTACAATGTTGTGTTAATTTCTGGTGTACAGCAAGGCGATTCATATATATATATATATATATATCTGTATATACACTTCCTTTTCAGATTCTTTTCCATTAAAAAAATATATATATATATATATATATATATATATATACACACACACAATGGAGAGGGTGTGGAGAAAAGGGAACCCTTTTGCACTGTTGGTGGTAATGTAAATTCATACAGCCGCTATGGAGAACAGTATGGAGTTTCCTTAAAAAACTAAAAATAGAACTGCCATAGGACCCAGCAATCCCACTACTGGGCGTATACCCTGAGAAAACCATAATTCAAAAAGAGTCATGTACCACAATGTTCATTGCAGCTCTATTTACAATAGCCAGGACATGGAAGCAACCTAAGTGTCCATCGACAGATGACTGGATAAAGAAGATGTGGCACATATATACAATGGAACATTACTCAGCCATAAAAAGAAACAAAATTGAGTTATTTGTAGTGAGGTGGATGGACCTAGAGTCTGTCATACAGAGTGAAGTATGTCAAAAAGAGAAAAACAAACACTGTATGCTAACACATATATATGGAATCTAAATTTTTGAAAAAGTGGTTTTGAAGAACCTAGGGGCAGGACAGGAATAAGGACGCAGACGGAGAGAATGGACTTGAGGACGTGGGGAGGGGGAAGGGTAAGCTGGGACAAAGTGAGAGAGTGGCATGGTCTAATATACACTACCAAATGTAAAATAGATAGCTAGTGGGAAGCAGCTGCATAGCACAGGGAGATCAGCTCAGTGCTTTGTGACCACCTAGAGGGGTGGGATAGGGAGGGTGGGAGGGAGGGAGACGCAAGAGGGAGGAGATATGGGAACATATGTATATGTATAACTGATTCACTTTGTTATAAAGCAGAAACTAACACACCATTGTAAAGCAATTATACTCCAATAAAGATGTTTTATATATACATATATATATATATATACATATATATATATATATGATTATTCTAGTCTCTAAAAATGTACATTCAAAAGTAGCTTTCTTTTTCTGAGTAAGGTACATAATTGTCAATCTCTCATTTTCTGTCACCAGTTTAGGAGTTGTGTTTTGTTTTGCTGCTTATTTATCTCTGGAACTTTCCATCTCTTGAATTCAGACGTGGTCGCAGGGTTTCCCAGGAGCTGTGGATGTAAGTGAAGTGAAAGAAGTGTACCTGGACCTCCTTAAGAAAGGTGTTCAGTTTCCTCCATCAGATGCAGTGGCTGAAACAGCCAGACAAGAGGTAGGAGGCCGTTCTTTGACCTGTGTAGTGTAAGACAGTGTAGTGCATGGGTCTTTTCTCTTTGAAAGGGACCACCCTAGCTCCACCTAGCTTCACCTAAAAGATTAATCTGTTAGAAGGATACTGTGATACCTCATAGAATACAAGCCGCAAGAAGGGTGGTGTTAGCTGGATCTTTGAACAGAGAACCAAGCATTCAAATGCCTTGTTACTTGTCTACCTTCCTTTGATCATCAGCTTCGTTCTTCTCTCTCATTGCAGACTAGCTTTTTCCACATGGTAAACAACATAGCTCCCAAATTTTCATATTATAACCTTAGCTTTTTCACATTCCAAGTCCAAAATTTCAGAGAAGGGCCTCATTGAACCAACCTAGGTCAGTTTTCCATTTCTGCACAAATTGACTAAGGTCATATAAGAACGGGGTTGCTCCATATAGAAATTATTTAGGTAGAGCAGAAGAGGGGCAGTTTTCAAAAGAAAAGATTGGTGCTAGACAGGCAGGGGTCTCTATTATAGGTAGTCGTATAATAGATTTGTTTATTAATACTGTGCCCATAGAAGAGTTTCACAATGTTCACATGTATTCATTCTCAAGTTTGCAAGCAACTTGCAAGGTTTTGAACTTAGAGCACTTGTAGTGACTGATTATAATTCATCTCCTAACTTCCTATGATTTCCATAATGTGAAAACAGTAATTCTTCCCTTCTGCATATTGGTGAGTCCTGCCTTGGTAGAAAAAGCAATTCAGGTGTATACCAAAAGTCTGATCTTTGTGAAGGCTTTGTCCTGAGGGCTAACTCTCCCTAGTGACTGAGTCATCTGAATGGAAAAACTGGACTTGGAGTGGCTGAGTTTATTTAAATAATAATATTTCTATATTTCATGTTGATAGACTGCTCAGATCTCACCAAATCCACCACCATCTGTTCCTACTGCACCAGCTCTTTCTTCTGTAGTTTCCAAGAGCTCCACTATTATATTGGTCCCAGAACAGGTAACAACAGCAATGACTGTATTTATTGATGACTTTTTCTAAGTTCTAAGTACTTTATATATAGTTTGTTTATCCTTAACAATATTATCATAAGGTAGAGGTACATTTTAACCTCATTTTACAGAGGAGGGGACTGAAGCTTAGTGATACTGTATAAGTTATGATGGTTCAACTCTAAGTGGAGTTAATCCCATGGTTTCTGCCTGATTCTAAAAGGCTGAGCTTTTAACAGTTGTGCTCGTCTAGTGGCTTTTGTGGCTTTGTGGAGGCTTGGCTGTAGGATGGATCTTGTGTAAGTTGATTCCTGTTGCTCCTGATAGGACTGTCTGTATGCCATTCCAGAGAGCTCAGTAAGTGGTCATCTTATTACTATTATTAACTGTGCCAACTGAATTACATTTACTTGTTTGTCTATATCTGTTTATCTAATGTTTAGACAAGCAATTGTTAAATGAAGCTCACTTCTGTCCTGCTATAAGGGAACTATCATTTAAGACTTTATATTATTATTCTTCGGTATTATATAACAATCCATGTGATTAATTCCTCCTAGAATTTAATCCAGGAAGAAAAAAAAGTGTTTCTCTCTTGCTTCTTCCCTCTCTAATACCGTGGGACTATAAAACATTCACTTTTTTCTCTCCCGTTGGTTTCTAAGAAACCCAGACTAACATTTGCCATTTTCTTCAGGTTGCTGATATGGTTACCTTCTCCCTTTTCCATATTGGTTCCAATCTGACTTTTTCCCTTCATTAACTTTCCTAGAGCATAGTTTTAAATTTATTACAAGAGCTCTCAAGACCTTTTAGAATGTGACAGATTGTACATTTGTAAAATAATTATATGTACATTTGTGTAAATTTGAAAATATTAAATTTTACAGAAGTGTTTTCTCTGCAAGCAAGAAACAAGGTAGCCATTCTTTGTGTCACACTTACTGGTGATTGTGTTGCTCTCAACAGATTGGAAAACTGCGCAGTGAATTGGATATGGTGAAAGTGAATGTGAGAGTGATGTCTGCCATATTGATGGAGAATATTCCTGGGTCTGAAAACCATGAAGACATAGAGCTTTTGCAGGTGTAGTATGATTTCAGGGACAAGCAGTCCCTGAAAGTTATTCTCTAAACTTAGAGCCTTGGAGATGGAAGGCACCGTAACATTGACTAGTCCATGCTCCAGCATGTTTACTTGATTTTTGAACTTAACAAGAAGCTTCAAGGATGACTTTATCAGAAATGCCATGGTAACTTAGACGTGGTACTTACCCTCTTGCAATAAATAATTTAACATCATTTAATCATTCATAGCCTAGCCATATACAGCCTCTACTAATCTCTAATTGTTTTCAATGTGTAAAAGTTACCTATCTATTCAGCAAACATAATGAGTAACTATAATGTGGTAAAGGATATAGAAATGAAGAGGTTGTCCTAGTCCTTAAGGAACTTAGGTCTAGTGAGCAAGAGTGTTTTGTAAACAACAAGTTTAATAAAGTATTGATGCTATAATAGAAATGTATTTATCATACTGTGGGTTCAGGGGTGGGGGCAAGGAGAAAGGTGAGGGTTTTTGGAAAGGTTTAGGTTGAGGCAGTGCCGACGCCGTGGAGGAGCAAGTGGACGGTGCATTTGGATGTGTATGGGCATGTGAAGGACACGGGCAGCTCATTATGACTGGAGTGGGGGCCCTCCCAGACCCTCTTCTGTGTCTCTACATCCAGTGCACTTTTTCCCTCTAATGGTTTGTTCTAATTTTCAATTTTAAGTTTTTTTGTTTTTTTTTTGGCGGTACGCGGGCCTCTCACTGTTGGGGCCCCTCCCGTTGTGGAGCACAGGCTCCAGACGCACAGGCTCCGGACACGCAGGCTCAGAGGCCATGGCTCACGGGCCCAGCTGCTCCGCGGCATGTGGGATCTTCCCGGACCGGGGCACGAACCCATGTCCCCTGCATCGGCAGGCAGACTCTCAACCACTGCGCCACCAGGGAAGCCCATCAATTTTAAGTTTTAACACACACTTTAACACATTATTTTAGAAGCAGTTAGAGGAAAAAAGTCAGTTTCTAAATCTTTTTCTTCCCCCCAAAGTTAAGAAACTTATATTTTTACTTTTCTCTGATTCCACTCGCCACTTCTCATGTTGTTGTTATCTTTCCTTTAAGTCCTTCGATTGTTAGTAAATAACATTTTTCTTGATTATTGCTTGTTTGGGAAACAATCAATGGTGTAAAAATGTCCTTTTTCAACATTACCACCTGTATTTAACTGCTATCTCCTTAAATTGTTACTAGTGGTAAACTTTGAGTGTTTACGTGTCCAAAGATGTCTTTTGGCTGCCGTGTTAAGGGCTCGCAGTTTGGCCTAGGTACAGAATTATTTTCCTTAAGTCCTTCACAGTTACTGCTCCATTGTTCTTGCACCCAGTGGTGCTATTGAGAAGTATCATATTATGTATTCTTGCACCTTTGTTTTATAATCTGTTTTTCTGATTGTATTTGTGATTTCTCTTTAATTTAATGCTTCTGAAATTTCACTATACTGTGTCTAGGGATATGTGTGCATGTATGTGCATATGTGTATTTACCTTACTTAACCTGCTTAGTATCAATACTTGATAGCCCTTTGGCCCTGTCAGCTTAAGTGTATTTTACTTCTGGGAAATTCTCAGCTCTTATTTCAGATATTTCTTTTCTAGTATTCTTTCTATCTTTGTATGGAACATTATTTAGATGATGAAACTTTCAGTTATATTTTTCCTATCTCAACTTTTATAAACGTTTTGTTTCTTCTTTTATGCTGTAGTTCTAGCAAAGCTTCTCAATTTTATGTATTATTTCTCTTAAATGTGAACATCAGATTGTCTATTCGGCCCTCCTAATGAATGTTTTATTTCAACAATTTTTTATTTTAAAAATTTATTTCAATTTTTATAATAGTTCTTTCATGGATATGCTTTCCCCTTTTGTCTTTCTCAGGATAGTAATTATTTTTAAAGGTGCTTTTCCATTTGCTCTGTGGATTCTCTTTCCTTGGGTACAAGTTCTTTTTTTCATCACCTCTTTCATTTCATTTCTCAAGTATCTGGATAGACTGGTGATAGTGAGCTTATTTTTGTGTGAGATCCCTGACAGCTTGTCTGCATTTCTGTGACCCAGCTTGCCCATGCCAAGTGGAAAACACTGTTATTGCAGCTTGTTCTTAGTACTATTTCTGAGTATTTCTGTGTTTGCTGCTGTTTTTAGAGTACATAGCATTGGCACGGGATGATGCTGGGTGGGTTATATTGGTAGCTGGTCTTCTAAGTTATATGCTTCCTGTTTTTCCTGGTTGCTACCAGCAACTGGAAACAGTACCCTATGTCTCTGTCCCAAGCATTGCTCCCACCTAGACACAGATGCTCCTGTCTCAGCTGTCTGGTCTCACATGGGGAGAGAGGCGTGAGCACAGGTTGTCTTGTCCAGTTGTCTCACTACTGTACCTCAGCTGTTTGTTAGCTACCCCTCATACTGTCTTCTTCTGGCTTCCATGGTCTCTAGTCATGGAGCATCCTTCATTTCCTTCCATGTTCTCTGGCAGTACTCATTGTGGGCAGTCTTGAGTGTCCTGGATTGTGCTTTAATCTAATCCAGGGGTCAGCATGCTGTGGCCAGTGGGTTATATGCAGGCTTCGGTCGTCTGTGAACTCAGAATGGGTTTTACATTTTTAAACGATTTAAAAAAAAAGAAAAGAAAAACAGGTCATTTCTCAAGTTATATCTATGCAAGCCTACCTCCAAGACCACGAGGGAGTCAGACACATCCCTCAAGGAACCCCTTGCCACCCCCCACCCACTATCAATGGATTTGAGTTTGTGGTATCCCTCAGGTGCACAGAGGGTTTTAAACCACAGCTTGGGAGCATCAGGTTCCAGGAGAAGGGTGGCAAAATCTAGTCTGCACAGGTTATTGTGGACTTGATATGCCATGCCTGAGTGGGCTTAACCCAGGTGGCAGAAGGAAGCCATTAAAGGGATATAAGCTGAAGGACTGCATAACCAGATAAAACTTTAGAAAGAGTCCTCTGGTGAACATTGAGATGACAAATTCTGGGGGAAGCAAGACACAACTCTTGGAAACAATTTAAGACAGCATTTCCTACTGGTCTTACGTTGTATACTATGTGGGGAATATGACATCTGTGGTCAAGTAAGTTCCAAAACCAATTGTTTACTGTATTTCTCCTCTTGGAGGGTCAAAAAGTTCATTAGTATAGTAAAGGCTCTAAGAGTCTTTTTTTATTGAAGTATAGTTGATTTACGATGTTGTGTTAGTTTCAGGTGTAGAGCAAAGTGATTCGGTTATATCAATATGTATATATGTATATATCTATATTCTTTTATTTGATTCTTTTCCATTATAGGTTATTACAAGGTATTGAATATAGTTCCCTGTGCTATACAGTAAATCCTTATTATCTATTTTATATATGGTAGATATATTTTATATATCGTCCTAATTTATCCCTCCCCCAACCCCTTCCCCTTTGGTAACCATAAATTTGTTTTCTACGTCTGTGAGTCTGTTTCTGTTTTGTAAATAAGTTCATTTGGACTATTTTTTTAGATTCCACATATGAGTGATAACATATAATATTTGTCTTTCTCTGTTTGACTTACTTCACTTAGTATGATCATCTCTAGGTTGCTGCAAATGGCATTGTTTCATTCTTTTTTTTGGCTGAGTAGTATTCCATTGTGTATATTTGTATATACCACATCTTCTTTATACATTCATTTGTTGATGGACACTTAGGTTGCTTCCATGTCATGGGTGTTATAAATAGTGCCGCTATGAACATTGGGGTGTGTATCTTTTTGAATTAGAGCTTTCGTCTTTTCTGGATATATGTCCAGGAGGGGGATTGCTGGGTCATATGTTTACTCTATTTTTAGTTTTGGAAGGAACCTCCATACTGTTTTTCCATAGTGGCTGTATCAGTTTACATTCCCACCAGCAGTGGAGGAGGGTTCTATTTTCTCCATACCCTCTCCAGTATTTATTATTTGTAGATTTTTTGGTGGTGGCAATTCTGACCAGTGTGAGATGATACCTCATTGTAGCTTTGATTTGCATTTCTCTAGTAATTAGCAATGTTGAGCATCTTTTCATGTGCCTATTGGCCAAATGTATGTCTTTTGATTGGGTTGTTTGTTTTTTTGTTATTGAGTTTTATGAGCTGTTTTGTATATTTTGGAAGTTAAGCCCTTGTCAGTCACATTGTTTGCAAAGATTTTCTCCCAGTCTGTAGGTTGTCTTTTTGTTTTGTTCATGGTTTACTTTTCTGTGCAAAAGCTTGTAAGTTCGATTAGGTCTCATTTGTTTATTTCTATTGCCTTGGGAGACTGACCTAAGAAAACATTGCTACAATTTACATCAGAGACTTTTACTTATGTTCTCTTCTAGGAGTTTTATGGTGTCATGTCTTACGTTTAAGTCTTTAAGCCATTTTGAGCTTATTTTTGTTTATGGTGTGAGGGAGTGTTCTAACTTCATTGATTTACATGTGACTGTCCAACTTTCCCAGCACCACTTGCTGAACAGACTGTCTTTTCTCCATTGTATATTCTTGCCTCCTTTGTCAAAGATTACCTGACTGTAGGTGTGGTGTGACCTATGTAGGTGTGACTGTGGGTTTATTTCTGTGCTCTCTATTCAGTTCCATTTATCTATATGTCTGTTTTTGTGCCGATACCACACTGTTTCAGTTAGTGTCACTCTGTAGTATTGTCTGAAGTCTCCAATGGTTATGCCTCCAGCTTTGTTCTTTTTCCTCAGGATTGCTTTGGCAATTCTGTGTCTCTTGTGGTTCTGTATAAATTATAGGGTTATTCTAATTTTGTGAAAAATGTTATGGGTAATTTGATAGGGATCACATTAAATCTGTGGATTGCTTTGAGTAGTATGGCCATTTTAACTATTAATTCTTCCAATCCAAGAACATGTGATAGCTTCCCATTTCCTTGAATCATCTTCGATTTCTTTTACCAGAGTTTTATAGTTCTCAGCATATAAATCTTTCATCTCCTTGGTTAGGCTTATT